GGGGGGCTCGGAGCGAGAGGCTCCCGGTGCCCGGGGCGGTCCCGGGCGAGGCTGTCCCGCCCCGTCCGCGGGGGTGGCGGTGCCGTCCCGGGTGCCACGTTCGGGGGGAGGTCCCGTCCCCTCCCGGGGGTCCCGGGGGTCCCGGTGCCGTTACCTGCTGGCGTTGGGGCGGGCGGGGGGCGGGGGGCTCGGGGGCGGCTCCTGGCCCGCGGCCCGGGGGGGGCTCAGCGCCCCCAGCAGCAGCAGCAGCAGCGGCCCGAGGCGGCTCATGGCGAACGGCACCGGGGGCACCGGGGGCTACGGGGGCGGGAACGAGCGGGAAGGGGCGTGGCCTGGCGGCGACACTCTCTGGGCCAGGCAGACCCTGTTCTTTGGGGTTCTCTGGGCCCTCCGGGGCTCTCTGGGTTCTTTGGGCTCTCTGGGGGTCGTTGGGGCTCTTTGGGGCTCTCTGGCTCTCTCTGGGGCATGCAGACCCTGTTCTTTGGGGTTCTCTGGGGTTCTTTGGGGCCCTCCTGGTCACTCCGGCTCTCTCTGGGCCAGGCAGACCCTGTTCTTTGGGGTTCTCTGGGGCTCTTTGGGGCTCTTTGGGGCATGCAGACCCTGTTCTTTGGGGTTCTCTGGGCTCTCCAGGGCTCTCTGGCTGTCTCTGGGCCAGGCAGACCCTGTTCTGTGGGGTTCTTTGGGCTCTCTGGGGGTCGTTGGGGTTCTTTGGGGCTCTCTGGGCCAGGCAGACCCTGTTCTTTGGGGTTCTCTGGGCTCTCCGGGGCTCTCTGGGTTCTTTGGGCTCTCTGGGGGTCGTTGGGGCTCTTTGGGGCTCTCTGGCTCTCTCTGGGGCATGCAGACCCTGTTCTTTGGGGCTCTTTGGGGTTCTTTGGGGCCCTCCTGGTCACTCCGGCTCTCTCTGGGCCAGGCACACCCTTCTCTTTGGGGCTCTCCGTGCCCCCCCGGTGCCCCCCCGGTGTCCCCCGGCTCGCTCACCGGCGGCAGCGGGATGACGCGCTCCATCTGCCCCACGCGGTCGCGCAGGGCGCGGATCTGCTCGTCCTTGGCGCTGTTCTGCCGCTTCACCTCGCGCAGGATCCCCGCCAGCCGGTCCAGGTGCAGCCGCAGCCCCTCCACCTCGCTGGCCCGCTCCGCCGCGCTTCCTCCTCCTCCTCCTCCTCCTCCAGCCTCGTCCTCCTCGCCGCCTCCCACGGCGTCCCACACGTCTCCGGCCACGGCTCTCCATCCGTCGCGCTCGCCGGGCTGGCGCTTGCCGTGCCGGCGGCACAGCTCCCGCAGCCGCGCCAGGCTCAGCGCCTCCAGCTCGCGCCGCGCCGGCCGCCGCTCCCGCAGCGCCAGCTCCAGGCTCAGCTCCCGCACCGCCTGCGCCTTCAGGTCGGCCATGGTCACCCACGAGGATGATGATGATGGTGGTGGTGGTGATGGTGATGGCGGAGGGGAGCCGCGGCGGCGCTGAGGGATCTGGTAGACGCGCAGCGGCTCCCGGCGCTTGCCCGGCAGCGCCAGCCCGGCCCGGCGCAGCACCGAGCGCACGGCGGGCGCCGGCAGCGCCTGGCGCAGCGACGAGATCAGCCGCCAGCCGGCCTCGTAGCACCGCGGCTCCTCGGCGCCGGGGGGCTGCGGGGGCACGTGTCGGGGGAGTGCGGGGTGCCCTGAGGTGGGCAGCCCTGAGGGACGCACAGAACGCCCCCAGGAGACCCCCGGGATGGGCATGGGACACCCAGGAGAGCCCCGGGATGGGCATGGGACACCCAGAACACCCCCAGGAGACCCCCGGCGGGATGGGCATGGGACACCCAAAACACCCCTGGGACACACCCAGGATGGGCATGGGACACCCAAAACACACCCAGAAGACCCCCGGGATGGTCAAGGATGGTCATGGGACACCCAGGAGACCCCTGGGATGGGCATGGGACACCCAGAACGCCCCCAGGAGACCCCCGGGATGGGCATGGGACACCCAAAACACCCCTGGGACACACCCAGGATGGGCATAGGACACCCAAAACACCCCCAGAACACCCCCGGGATGCACCCAGGATGGTCATGGGACACTCCAGGGGCCACCCAACCACATCCAGAGGACCTGGGGGTCACCTGTGACACTCGGGGACACCCAGGATTCCCAAAGGACCCCCGTGCCCCCCTCACCTGCGGCTGCTCTGACCCTTCCTTCTCCACCTGGGGTTGTTTCTCCAGCTCCTGGAGCCTGGGCACACACACAGGGTGAGCCCCCCGGCCCTGAAAACCGCCCCCGCTGTCCCCGGGCCCCGTGCCCACCTCTGCAGGCGCATGTCGATGCCCTGCTGCTCCAGCAGCTCCCGCTGCGCCAGGTTCCAGTCCGGGGGGGGCCCGGGGGACGCCCCCCGCTCGCGCTCCCGCCGCGCCTGCTCCGGGTGCGTGAAGCGGAACACGTGGTTCTTGCCCAAAATGAGCCGGTGGCCTGGTTTTTGGGGGGGTTGGAGGGGTCACGGGGGGATTTAGGGGAGATTCGGGCAGGCTCACGGGGAGTTTTGGGGGATTCAGGCGGGAAGCGGGGGTTTGAGGGCGTCATCAATTCCAGAGAAGGGAATTTGGTGAGATTTTTGGGGGGCGGGGGGTTCAAGTGAGAGCCGCGGGGACCTGGTGGGGAGGGGGGATTTTGGGGGAGACACACAGAGATCTGGGAGGGCTTCGGGGGTCCCTACCCGACTTGAGCACCACCGGCTCCGTCACCTGCTTCCCGTTGACGTAGGTCTCAGCCCCCTGGCACGGCTCCAGCGTCACCACGACTTCGGGAGGGGACAACAAGAGCAGCACGTGTCACCTCCCTGCTGGGCTGAACCCCAAATCCCCCTCCCCAAACCCCCCCAAACCCCCAGGACCCCTCCCTGTCCCACCGGCACGGGGTGGGGAGCGGTACCTGGGGGGGGCCGTGCTGACCTGCTCCAATGGCAGCATTGTGGGGA